TGGTAACCCTGTCTTCCAGCAATTACTATAAAAAATAAAAATAATCAAAGCTAGTTGTTTTTTCATTTATTGAAACCACAGAAAATTGAAATTTAAAATGTTTACGTTTAAAATTAGAAATTGTCCAATGTTATAACACATACGTGTTATTTTTGATTTTTTTTTCTCTTATGTACACGTTTTAAGATTGTACAAAAAAATATAGGTCACACACACGCTTGACACAATAAATAAAGAAATATGGCTTTATTAAATACAAACGCAGAAAATGAAAATTGAATTTATTTTGTTACCATTATTAATATGGGGTAAGCTGTCGACTCAAAGTTTAGCATTTTTATTTTTTATATAACCCAGAGAAGAACATCATTGCTCAAATGGGTATCAAAATGTGAATATTTCCACTTATAAATTATACTTTCAATACATCATTTTTGATAAGGAGTTCAACTGTTTTGGGCAATAATAAAAGCAAATACATTTTTCTCCAAAACGCTTATGAAAAAGCGGAATGTCATTGGGCAATATCCGGCGCCCAAATCTCTCATTAATTACGCCTAAAATTATTGAGAACCCGGCAGGTTTAATCTATGCGAAATTTTCCAAGCAGAACTTTCACAGAAAACAAAATGTTTCGTATGAAAATGATGCGCGGTTTTGTGCGTATATGATGTGCGCGAGTGCGAGTGTCTTGTTTGTCTAAATGGGTGCATTGAACTTTTCGCGAGTCCAAATTTAAAATAAACACATTCCACGGGAGCACGTTCAGAGCAAATAAATTAAAAGCGGGGACAGATAAAAAAATATATTACGATAAAAATATCCTTGCGCGTGTTTTTGAGACTTTGACGTTTTCTCATTTTCCCCTGCTGAGCTATTTCTTATAACTAAATATCACCGTTCTTCGCGTTAGTATCGGACATGTCGACATTTAGCTATTGCTAAGATGAAGTTTGAATGGAACATTTCCCTAAAGGCTTTGAGAATATGCAATACAAATCTAGCAAAAAAATTTCATCTGTCAAATCAGTCCCTAGTTTTATTTAATATTCGATTCAATTAATATAAAATTAATTATAACTGAATTCGTGATTTAGATGAATTAGCATTTTTCGCTACAAGTTTTGTTATGATATAACCGAAAAATATAAGATAGAGTTTCAACGCCTCTAGTGATTGGGTGCAGTCATGAAGACAGAAAACGCGCGGGACGTACGGTTCAATTCAATTTAAAGTTTGAAAGGTAAAATGTGAAAAAAAAATATGTCTAAATAGTTTTAAAAACAATTTTTATTAAAATATAAATAAAGTGCTGTTATCCGTTACAAGCTACTGTAGTATTTTCAGTGTGACGCATTACTTTAAACCGCCATGACAGTATTTTAGCACTTGGACACAAATAATAGATGGCATTCGTAACAGTATACGCGACCTTCCCCTCTATCTTATACTCATTGGATATAACTACTAAATCACAATCGCAGCCTGGTTTTTATTAAAAATACCGACACAATTTCTAAGTTTTCCACTTGTGTAAATACCATTTAGATATAAAAACGTTAGCATTTTTTTCTGATTTCAATTCATATGAAGACATTCGAAAGTTCTTGATTGCAACATCACAAATTTCAGGAAAAGTATAGTATAATATAAATAGTAATTTATAATGAAACGCCCAGTACCCAGGGTAAAGTCTGTTCATAGATATAAGAAAGTGACTAACTGATACGAATTAAGGAAAGACCCGGGCAAGCTTCGTTCGTACTTTGCTTAGAATTTAATTATCTGGGGTTTTCTTAGGAAAGATACTAAACAATATTTATTTATTTATGTTTGTATTTATGTTTAAATCTAAAATAAAAATCGCCTGTTCTAATTATTATTTGTTCTATATTATTTGCAATATGCATATACGATTGTTCTGCTTTTTGTATATGTTTTACAGAATTTGCCCAACTTTGTGGAGGGACGTTAAAAACTTCGGTTTCTCTAAGTTTGAGGACATTGGAGTTAACACGGGGAAAAACGTTGTTACGACCAATGGCAGATTTCAGTTCGTGCAAAACATGTTCAATGGGATTAAATATACAGTGGTAAGGTGGAAAGAAGCCTTGGATTGTTGCTTTTGTGTCACCCGAGAAAGGGATTTTAGTCAACTGTTTACTGTGATAACTTGCATTGTCCATTACAATTAGGCTATTAGGAGGAATGTGTGGAACTAGTTTGCTTTTAAACCAACTTTCAAATAAATCAGCGGTGGTGTCTTCATGGTAATCGAGAGAAGAATCTTTAATATTTTTCGCAGACAGAGAAAGTCTATTTGGAATCTAACCATCTTTAGAGCCAGCATGCAAAATAAAGATTCCATTAAAACTTGCCTTTTGTCAATTTTTTTTAATCTAAAACTCATGTGTTGAATACACTTCCATAAGATAGTTCTGCCACATTTAACACCGGTTTCATCTTTTTCAAGCCTCCTAATTAAGATATCTAACGTAGGCAACCTTTGTTCCTCGTATAACTGGTAAATTTTACGCCGTATTATATCTTGATCACTTTCATCTACACTCGAGAAAATGTCAGCATCGCTTCTTTTTTTCCTCACTAAAATAGAATTATTCACAATTTTCCATACAGTTGATGTTGGAATTTTCGTCAATGTGGCCGTTTCTTCATTTCTTCAAATAAACATTGTTTATAACTTCCTTCCTTCAATAGAATAGTGTTTTCTACATTTGGGCGGGAGCATCTCCTGAGATACACTAGACTCACACATATTTTGCATAATTCGCACACGATTCAGCACACGCTGTATTACACACGAAATAAGAATGATTACTAATAAACTTAAACTAAGTAGTATACCAAACCAAAAAATATTAAACACAGGTAGGTATAAAATTATTTTCTATTAAGGACCACAATTTTACCTAAATCTATTTATTTTTTTAATGACTTGGATAATCCCATTCAAAAGCATTTGCTGATTTTTTATATCTATGAACAGACCATACAAGTTGAAACCACCTCATAAGCATTTTTCTATAAACCCCATGTTAATAAAACAATTAGAATACACTCTACTTTTAGAATCGTCTGACATTAAGTTGACAAAACTGCTCGGACCCAAGTAAATTTTATATCTACCTGTTTTTCGAACGCAGTCGGACGCCGATTAACAAAAGAGACATTTTATACGGCCAAGGGCCAACAGCACCTGTGCGGATTTTTGTCAAATTTATGCTTTATTATTCGTAAAGGAAGTGGCGTAGATCTAATATATTTTGTAAAAGTTAATAATTAAAACCTTGAGTATTCTGGTAATCTAACACATGCAGAATAACAATAGCTTAATTTATTTGAATAAAATAAAACAATTATATCAAAATACATTTTTTTAATTACCTATAAGCCAAACAAAATTTTAATATATCACAATATTTCCAATAAAGAAAAAGTTCTATTAACTCTATATGTGTATCTGATGATAGGAGATGAAACTGTTACTTATACTCGACTTCATTTTATCACAAAAGTCTGCAATACATTTAACATACTGAGCGCGCTCCTCTGATAAAAATATTGTTCAATTTTTGATCTTTTATCTTTAATGCAATTAAAAAGAATGAAAGACAATAATTGGTAGATAATATACAATGATGAAGTACACCGTTTGTGTAAAATTTAACCAAAATCAAGAATAGCTACTAGTTTGTTGGCAGATTTTCACTCTTAATCATATAACACAAAGATTTACCTACATTAATGAATAGTATTGAAAAGTGACTCCCTAAAAATATTCATTCATTCATTCACAAGCCTCTAGTTTTCGAAATAATTTCACAAAATACCATTATCTATCATTTTTCAGTCAAACTTAAGATACCTTCTCCACCACTGGACGATGACATCAATCTAACGTCATGAGTTTGGATTTTTTTTATATAAAAGGCGCGAATATAATTTTATATAAAAGTTAAACCTATTATTCAGCCGTGATTTAACAATAATCCGTCGAATCAGGAAATTTTCCCACCATCACATTATCCCACGAGGGTTGAACAGGTTAAATGTTATAATGGAGTCGCAGCTTTTGTGGGCTTAGTCGCAAAAACCTCTGGTTGAAAAATAAAGCACCTAAGTTTATACATATTTCTTTATTAAATTTAAAAGTAATATATTCAAAGCCTGCAATAAGCTGATATATCCTGTATACTAACATTTAGATAAGCAATCGCTTTAATTACTAGTCGCGCTTGCAGAACAATAAGAAGCTTCTTTTTGACGTTATTTTTACAAAAAAGTTCGAATTTAACTTTTCAAAATACAAACAAATATTCTCTACTATGCATCCCTACGTATGTGCAAATCAATTAAATCTTTCTGATTTGAAACAAGTCAAAGCGGAGGTACATTCTTAAAACTTATTTGGTTGATCTTACGATTAATATCTTTTCCTACCTTTACCTTCGACGTTCAGTTCTCGATCTCGGAGACCTCCGAATAAAAGTTTACGTGTCCACTACGTCATACATAAAATTCTCAAAGATTGTTTTGCAGATGGTTATTTTCAATTTTATGAAAAATTTTAAACGCGTACATTAGCATACTAAAATGATTCCATAGCATTTTTTTACAAATCTTTAATATAAAGGGACGAAAAAAAAAACTTAGAAAAACGTGTTAAAAGTGCGCCCTCTGATTAATTAAATATAAAACTGGGGAAAAGGGAAATAAGGAACTAAAAATGGTGCTGCCATCTGGTGGAGAATAGCAAAAGGATAGAATAGAAATCTCAATAGGCTATAATTTCCAGATTTCAAAAAATCAATTTTCGAATGTATTTTTCCTGAAATACAAGCATTTTTTATGAAAATTCCGTCTTCGTTTTATTTGTAAATTGTATGATTTCATGTATGCAAATATTCAATACGATTATTGAAGTTCTGTTTTATCAACAGAGAGCATAACCTACCACTGTTGACATCTGTCGTTCTTCTATGTTGAATTTTGGTAGGGAAGGTTTGTAAATATTTTCTTATAAATGCATAATCCGGGATCATCCAAGATTTTATAATTTCAAACTGATATTTTTCTTTAATACCGATCAAAACTACATATTTCCTTTGGATTGTGGTCTATATTTTCATAATTAATATGTTCGGTCCTTTTCTACATAGGAGGTTATATTTTAGTCCCCATCCATAGCTTATAGTTCAAAAATGGCAAAACTGAAAGGTGAGAAAAAAGGCAAATCCGCTATCAATGAGGTCGTAACTAGGGAATACACAGTTAATCTGCATAAACGGCTCCATGGTGTGGGATTTAAAAAACGTGCACCCAGGGCGATTAAGGAAATTCGAAAATTTGCAGAAAAGCAAATGGGTACCCCTGATGTAAGAATTGATACAAGATTGAATAAGCAATTATGGTCCAAGGGAATTAGGTAAGCATATGAACAGGATTTTTATATAATTTTGTCTAATTATTTTAAGACTTCCATTATAATTTTTCTTGTATGTATGTAGTATTTCATCCTTGTGCATCAACTTCAGGGTTTAGATTTTGACCCCTATGTATAAACTGATAATTTTTTAAAATATTTTCATTAGCTGTGCTAAATAATATCTATTTTGCTTTTAGGAATGTTCCCTTCCGAGTTAGAGTTCGTTTATCAAGAAGACGAAATGATGATGAAGATTCTGTTCATAAATTATATACTCTTATAACCTATGTACCAGTTGCCACATTTAAAGGTCTTCAGACAGAAAATGTGGACGCCAGTCAGGAGTAATTGGGAATAAATTGTATTTTTAGCCCTTTTTTTTATTTGAAGCTCCATCGAATAGCCCTAAAGAGAATTTCAGAAAACCAACTAAACCTAAACTCCTAACTCAAAATTTACTAATTTCTAAATGCTTCATAATGTAAAGATAATATTTTGGTAAAGTTTGTTTAATGTTACTTGATACCATATTACAAAATGTTCCTTTAGTTAATGCATATTTCGTCCACGGAAGAAAAATAAATTGTATCTTGTAAAAACAAATACCCTTGAACTTAATAACAACACTTTATTTTCAACAAAATTGTATGAAGAGCAAAAATCACCGTCTTAGCCTAGTATAATTAAACAGGTTACAAAAATAAAATGCAACAGATTAGACATTAAAATAGCTGAAATGTATTGATAATGGTGAACAATATAATTCCATGGTCCACACTCACTTTAGGATTCTGTGGTTGCCCAAATAAGGAATAGGAAAGAAGAAGAAGGATTCTGTGGTCCTAACCTAAATAAATATCTTGTCAAAAATTTGTAATAAAGGAATTTATCACCAAATATCCTTATAATGGAACTTAGGGATACCAAGTACAATAAAAACGAATATGTAGAAACGGTAAGCTGTGTTGTGTTTATTAGTTCATAACAAATAATGCCTCGGAATTTGTATCTGAAATTGAATTTTTTTAGGCGTCTGGTAATAAAGTCTGTAGACAGACTGTCCTCTGCGGGTCTCAGAATATTATTTTACAAGGTAAAGTAATAGTGCAGTCAGAAGCAATTATTAGAGGGGATTTAGCGAACGTCAAAACAGGCAGATATTGCGTGATTAGTAAAGAAGCAGTGTTACGACCTCCCTATAAAAAGTTTAGTAAAGGGTGAGTGAAATTTCAAATGCTCCTTGGGTCCTTGAAGCATAACCCTTCATATTTTTTAGAGTGGCATTCTTCCCGTTAAATATAGGTGATCATGTATTTATTGGGGATAGATCCCTCATCAATGCTGCCCATGTTGGAAGTTATGTTTATATTGGAAAGAATTGTGTTATTGTAAGATAGTTTTGTGTAGGTATCTACAAGAAAATTAATCAGGATTGAGTTTTAGGGACGAAGATGCATTTTAAAAGATTGTTGCGTAATTGAAGATAATACTGTTTTAGCTCCTGAAACAGTTGTACCACCATTTACTAGATATAGTGGTTCACCTGGTAAGCAAGTTGGGGATTTACCCGAATGTCAAGCGGATTTGATGATAGATTTTACCAGAAGCTATTACCAACATTTCCAGCCAGTATAACTCTTTAGATGTGTGTCTTGTTTATATACTACATTTTCATAAATTTTTAAATCTTTTTATTTTCTTGAAAGTTAGTTTTTTACATCAATCATTTTATTGTCACATTTTTATTTGCTTTAATATATACATATTCTCAGTAACAATTTTGATTTGAAACACGAATTAGCACCCCATTATAATTTTGGCGAGGGATTAAAAAAAAAGAGAGATAGATAGATAAACACCTAGGCACGTGTAGTTACATTACGTTTATTTCATTTTCTGATTCACTTGCACTTAATTATAGAAACACAGAATTATTATTGAATTGAAAACTTGAAGCACCCAAATGTTCCACATTCATTTGATGAAATAAATAATTAAAAATTTATTAATAATTAAAAATGTTTTTTAAAACGCTACAAACCTAAAAATATATACAATAATTATTCAAAAATATTTGAACTGTTTCCATCACTTTTCAACGCATCAAATTTATTCTTGCAATCATCAGTAAGCGGATTATTCGTAAGGTAGTAAAGCACTTTTGGCGATATTTGAACTAGTTTGTCAGGTATGCATTTTAAGTAATTGTGCTCAAGTCGTATCCAATCAATGGTTTGCAATGTGCCTAGGCTAGCTTCACTAATTTCTTCCAATTCGTTCCGATGCAAAAACAACCAACCAAATGCCTGAATACCATCAAATGCACCATCACTGATATATTTTATTCTGTTGTTGTGCAAAAATATATTTGTTGAAATGTTGAGATTCAGGTCCCGACTATAATGTACACCTTTGACATTTCTAAATGCTCGGAAAGGTATGCTGGTGATGTGATTTACCTTAAAATCCAATACCGCTAATTTTGGACTACCTTTGAACCATTCTCCCGACCAGTAGCCTATTTTGTTTTCATCTATGGATAGCAATTTCAAATTCTCAATATTGTTGAATGCTTTTGGGTGGATACTTTCTATATTGTTGTTCGTTAGACATAGCTCTGTTATAGGCAAATTGTTGAAAACGCCCTCTCTAATAGTTTTAAAGTTATTGTACCTTAATTTAATCAAATACAGCTTGGTTAAATTATAGAAACATCCACTTTGCAGATCAGTTATGTTATTGTTATCCAATATCACGTCCACTAAGTTAGGAAGGCTGTTTATTGCGTCTTTCTTCAATATTGGGACACTCCCATTTATAATTTGTATGTAAGTTACTTTGACTAAGTCTTCTGTGGGAGAAAAACATCCCGTAATTGTTTTTACATTTTTGGCACCCACTAGCGTAACATGCGTGTTTGAAAAAGTCTCTTCACAAGGTACTGAAAACTTCACGACCGATAATAATAGAATTATTTTGGTAACTGTAAAGAACTTGTCCATGGTGTTTACACTGGATAGATTTGTTTTGACATCTTTCCCGTCTGATAACTTAATACGTTTATCACTAAATGGTAGGTCAAGCGGGTATAAAGAATGAAGTAATTGTTAAAAATAAAACTATAGCCTTTTGCGTAAACCGATTGTATTTATTTATTCATTCATTAATTCGAGGGGAAAAATACATTTATGTATTAGTTCTTTGCGCTCAATTGACGCGTTAAAAATTAATTATTCATGTACAATAGGATAGAACGTTTTTCTTAGGGCACTAGGGTAATCGCAGGAAATATACGAGATTTGTAGAATATGCAGACAAGTGTTTTCACTTCAATTTCTGTATTATTTTTTATGCAAAATTTTGATTCCAGACATATTCCATGTTTAATGTCTTATACTTAGGTGGAAACATTTTAAATTTTAGTGCAAATAGGCACCCTCAAAGACAACTTTATTTATTAGGAGTGAAATTGAGAATATTGACAAAAATTAATTTTCAAATAGAGAGACCCCCAAATTTTTGATTTTATATATGCCATTAAAGTAAGTTTAAAAAATTTTTAGTTTTCGAAATAATGCAAATACCTATATAAGATTTTTCTACTAAAATATTGTAATGTGAGAATTTATTAATTTCAAAATTTTGTTTTTAGATATATTTATTTTCTTATTCCAGTTCATGAATGTTTTACCTTTTCAGTAGTTTTTAAAAATCATACATTTATCATATTATAGCATAGTCTGTTGACAGAATATCTTTAAATGCGATTATGGCAGGCAGGTCCAAATAATCAGGAATTAAACAAATAATTTCATTTTTTAATATGCCTTTTTATTAAATATGGATATTATTTTAATAAATTTCAAATAATATTAATAAACCTATATAAGTGACGAAAATGAGGTTCGTCCATACAATTATCAGAAATTCGGTAATCAATGCATTAGTTATTATGCTACAAATGTTGGCTATGGTAATTTTTTTGTCCACTAAAAACACCATGAGGTAATTGGAATTTGTTTTTATTAAATTAATATTTCCAATGTCTAATTTAATATTTTTTACACATGCGAATTTTGAAAGACCTGTTTACTATAAAGCACATTTTCATTTGGAAGAAAGGCTTTAGAAATCTTTACTTGGAGCAAGTTAAAACTTATTTCGTTTTATATATAACAGTGACTAAAAGTGGCAATACGGTGGAATTTAAAGATTCAAATCCATTTTATTATATATATTTATCAAACAAGTCTTTTTCACTTGCTTTAAGAGCAAAATTAAATATTTTCCTTTGAGTAACATTTAAGCAGCTATACAAAATAAGCAGCAAGTTGGGCCATTTTATCTTTCGGTTTCCCTCTGCCTCTACTTCCTCTGCCACCTCTTACACTCCCTCTACCACCACGAAATGGTCTTGGTGCTCTACTAGCAGCAGCCGCTTTCGGTTTGTCGACCAATTTGGAAAATTCACTAGAACAGAAAACACATCCCTTCATCTCCGTTGTCTGATTTGGCAATCTTGACTTTTCTGGTTTGTATTCCACATTCACAAATTGCGCTCCGCACAAACAGTTTTCCTCAAGGACGGCGACTTTTTGAGCATCATCGAATATATTTATTATTGTATCGCACCTATAAAAGGTTAAACAATATTAGTAAAATATGGAACGTTAAACAAACTGTAGCTCAGAAAATTCTATAATTTTAAATAATCCTATTTTTGGGTAATTAAAAATATTTCTACAACTTTAATGTCATGATATATTACAATTATAATTTACAATAAATTTTAATCACCTATTACAGCCAAGCTTCCATTTTGGTCCTGACGATGGATCTAATACTAATATTCCAAATTCACATTCAGCACAGTGACACAGACCGTTAGAATTTAAGCCATAAGGACACGTCGGATGTGTGCATGAATTGCAGCCATTGGCTTTTTTCATTTCTCTAAAAGAAATATAAGAGACTGCTGTTGCTTTGCTGGTTAATTTTGTTTTATTTATTTATTATTGTGATTTCCTGATTATTTTAGAATCAGCTTACTTGAATGGTGGATTGTTGTAACAATATGGACAAAACACAAAACTCTTCCCTTTATTGCCTGTAGTCCAACACAAAAGTTCAAAATCATCAAGAGGACATTTCAGCTCTCTAAACAACTTGATTGTTCCATTTTGCGGTACATTGTAAGTCTCATCGCACTGAGGACAGTGTAATCTAGCGGGTTTTGCCTGAATATACTTCAAATATCGTCTGCATTTTCCACACCTATCAATAAAATTATTGCAATCAAAGTTACGAGCAAATACTAATGGTATAAATCATAAGTACCTGGAATGAGCTTTACCAGATGCACTTAATGGTGAGAACGACACTTCGAATAACTGATCCATGCCATCAATATTTTTTACAAAGTACTGAAATTTCAACTTAAAAATGTCGATTGTGTGTTTTAAAACTGCATTGAAATTGGCCTTGCCCAAAGCAATAAGATTTAGTTGCTTTTCAACTGCTGAACGCATTGTGGGTAATACCAGCTCAATATCAATCTGAAACAAGGTTTCATACATAATAGCATAATTCACAATCAATTCTAAACAAATCTCTCTGAAAACATGAACTACATGCATGCAGTTATGTACTTCTTTGGCGCTTCATAACACAGGTCTACAAAATTAAACAGATGTTTCTATTTTGAAAAATGATTTTATATAATTTTGATAGACTGATTTCAAAAATTCCATGCACTTATTTGTATCACGTAAGAGTTTTTTTACAAATATTAAAGGAAAAAAGATATTTATAAAATAATTTATTTTTTATTTAGTAAAAAAGTGGTATTCTAGTTAAAAAAAGTGAAAAAAAAACTTTACTCAGACTTTTTTGAATGAAATCTTCGTCTTTTTGCCAGAAAACTGCGTTGTTTGAACATTCGACTGTGGGTTTTTAAGGGCATATCCCGTTTTAACATCAAGCAGTAGTCCGCCCTCATCGTTATGCTTGATCTGCCTTAGTATCGCCGTTCCATCACCTTAATGTCCTGGTGAAACCTCTCTCCCTGTTCGTTCCTTGCATTTGCATAATTTTCTTATCTGCGGCCCAACAAAAATACCTTCTTTTATCTTGGCATCAGATATTGCTGGAAATTTCTCGCAAAAATATTTGAAACAATGTCCATTTTTGTCTGGGACTTTAACAAACTGCTTCATCAAGCCAAGTTGAATGAAGAATGAAGTGATATGAAGAGGCTGCAGTAAAACTTTTTTGGGCTCAACTAAGCTATCTCTTAAAACATTTTTGCTACCAGGTGTAAGGCTTCTTCTAGAGGGCCATTCTAATTGAGTCCAATGTCTATCTCTTGCCCGACTATCCCACTCACAAATAAAGCATGGAAATTTGGTATAACGGTCCTGTTATCCTTTGGGCATGCAAAGCATCCACTGGTATTCTTGGTAGTTAATTTTCTTCAAAATAATTTCTAAATTTGCATATGTTTCTTTTAAATGTACCGAATGTGCAACCTGAACCGAGCCCAGTCCGTTACCATTGTGCAATAAAACGTCTTTTAAACTATGCTTACTTCAGTTAATAAACAGGCACCATTCTAGCGCTCCTTTCAGAGTAAAACATTGACTTTTTTTTTTCATTCACACCTCCTATATGCGATCTTAATATGGGGCCAAGCTGCTGGCAAACACCTTTTGAACAGATTACGAAGCAAAGCAATTCGAATTATTAGTGGACTTGGTTATTGGAAGTCCTGTAAAAGTGTCTTTCGAGACTTGGAAATTCTTACATTGCCTTCGTTGTTTATTTTAGAAAATCTATTATTTACAAATAAAAATCCGCATCTATTTGCCACTTATAAGGAACTGCATGGCCATCAAACCAGGGGCAATGTGGTTTTTACCTACTGCGCTTGGGGAGGTGTCGGTGTCGTACTGGTCCAAATTATTGATCCCTTAGGTTTTTTAATGCACTTCCAAATGCTGTTCATAATTTACCATTTGATATGCATAAACAGTCAGACGATTTTTAATTGATCAACATTTTTATTCTTTTGATAAATATTTGTATTTCAATTTATAATTTACCTGGTGCATTTTAAGTATATGTTATTTTATTCCTTTTTGTTTGACGTATGTAAATCATCTATGATCGTAACATTAATAAGGTATTCGGATTCCAAAATGCTTGTCGCGGAGTCTGTACACTAACAATTCAGATGCAGCCTTTGGAAGGTGCAAATCTCTAATTAAATCATTTAATTTGCTCTGGTTAAACACTTCGGGCTCTCTGGCTGGAATTAGATTCCTCTGATTCTGACGTTAAGACGTTTTCTAGTTTTTTTGGACCGGTAGGTATCAGTAGATCTGGTCCATGAGGTACTGGTCGAATAGCAGAGTCCAGATTGGGATACACAATTTGTTTCTTATTTTTTCTGTTGAATCCTTGAACATTACATAAACAAAAAGAAAAATCATCACTGTGATTCTTAGGCTCTCGCCATACCATAGAAACACTAAAGCTTAAACATTCCTTTCTAACTGTTCACTTTCTTAATGCTTCAATGCAAATGGAACAAACATTATGAGGAACCCAGGACTTGGTTGGTCGCCAATTTTTACTATTACACTTTACTTTACTATGACAGAACCACCACTGATATAACAAAAGTTGTTTGGATTGTTCACACAATGTCTTCTTTTCATAGTTATACATTCTAAAATACTACGCAACAATGTAGACCACAGCCACGAACACAATACCACGACGACCAATACAACCATACTGCGTGTAAGCAGGTTACAACACTGCTGTATCGAAGCTTCTGCGCCAACTCTGTTGCTTTGCAGAGAAATCTAATATTATCCATTATTATAAAATCATGCCTAACATTGAACAAACATATTCATGTCATAGGCACGTATATTAATAAAATAACATTTCTAAGATATTAAAAAAGTGACGCGATGGAACAAAAATATGGCGTTTTTTGGAAAAATGGCCCTCAAAAATATACAAATAACCAAACAGCTTTTAAACCTCAAAATCACTGTAGACCCGTGTAATTTTAAATATCTGATTGAGGAAAACGCAAATTCTAATAAAACAAAGTACTGGGCACAATAATGAAGCAAACAGTGAACCAGTGAACAGTGACAAAGAAAACTATCTTCCTTGTGAAAATTCTAAAAATGTTTGTGCTATAAGGTGTAATTGCATCTTTGATCTTGTGATATGCTGGCATGAAATCACTATTTGAAAATAAAAAAAAAAAACACTGCTTAGCACTGCAAGCTTATTACTATATAAATGAATTTTATGATGAGTTTTTAGTTGTTCTGGGAAGTTTCCATCATTTGTTATCTCAAACCTTAAATAATAACTGCAGATTATATAAATACCTTCTGATATCCGTGCACCAGAACTATACCTAAAGTAGTAGGTTTCAACTTTCGTCCAGCGATCACTGTCACATAATTACGTTGGCATATGTTATTAATGTGCACAGGAATCGAGGCGTCAGTTCCGATCCCATGCTTTTCCATCAAACTAATAAGTTCAGCTTCTGTTAAATAATCAGGCGGAGAAGTTTGATGCTCTGTCAACTTAACACTATTTAAGGGAACAATCTCCTTCTCTTTAATATTTGGAACAATCTCATTCTTCCCAAATGCCTAATAATGAATGTAATTTTTAAGAAAAACGATTGAACAAACGAAAAGTATTAAATTACCTGCCATGTCATAACAGTAGTATATCCCGGATCCAACAGGGTCTTGCCATTACTATAAAAGATTTCACCATTGATGTCAATTTTTATAGCGGTGCTTAAATATTTACAATCCCTAGAGAGAGTTCCTATAAAATGTCTTGTTATGTAATCATATATTTTCCATGCATCTCCATCTAATTCATTTCTGGTTGCTGACTTCATAGGAGTAATAGGAGGATGATCACCTTTAAATTGAATGTTTTTTTAGTTCTAAGTAATTCATTGAAAATTTAAAAATTACCTGCATCATGGCCTTGCTTTGGTCTATTTATGCCATTGGATAAGACTTCCCTTACTTCATTTCCCCATTCTGGATGGTCCTGTTGTTGTTTTAGAGTACCTCTATTAAAAGAAAAGACCAAAAAGCAATTTAAAAAAATATATATGTTATTATATTTCACTTTTTTTTACTAAATTTGAATGTTTCTTTACTAAGGTTGAATGTCAGCACATCAATCCTAGTTTCATTATTAGTAAAATGTACTTACATTAGATCAAAGCTTTCTGGATATTTTGTAGTTTCTGTTCTTGGATAGCTTATATAGCCTTGAGTATACAATTTTTCAGCAATCTGCATTGCATGGTGAGGTCCCATTCCCAATCCGGAACTTGCCACCCTCATTAACTCAACTGTGTTTAATGCAATTGGACGAGGTTTGGATTTTTCTTTGGAAGTTACACTTATTACTCTAAAAAATTATTTAAAGACTCAGATAAACTAGCTACACTAAAATTTCCAATGAAACTACCTGCCTTCCTTATCTTGCCTTACTAAATTTAAGAACATAGTAGCAACATCCTTATCAAAACATCGAACTCTTTCCCACTCTAAACAAACTTCAATATCATCTTTTGTTCTTACAGAGGTCTGAACTACCCAATAAGTTTCTGGCTTAAATGATTGGATCTCGTCATGTCTCTGAACACAGAAACCCAAGGTGGGAGTTTGGCAGGGGCCATAAGATATTAATGAAGCATCTAAATCACCATATCTCCCCTGAAAATATTTAGTCTGATATCGGGTGAATGCACATCCAATTCTTAAATCAATCTCCTGTCTAGCATCCACACTTTTAGCTTCATTTTCATTTGGATGCCCTGATAATATTATATATATATAAATAAATTGTATCTGATGATCAATTACTACCTTTTACCTAAATTGTTAAAAGCTGCCTTTATGTCTTTTTCAGTAATTGCTGAAAATTTCGCCCTATACGTAACATTATCTGAATAGACATTGCTGTTCATACTCTTTGCCACTGAGGCCATAACTTCAAAACAAATATTCTCACCCTCTTTATCACAATCAAGCCAAAGCACAAGATTATCACTACCCTGCGCTTCTGCGGCGAGAAAAGCAGGCATTTTAAGTTTCGACATTGCCTCCTTTTTCTCTATAGGGCACGCAAAAAGTTCTACAGGATCCACCCTATCCCAATTATTGTATTTACTAATAAAGTCAACACCATATACATGACCACAAACAGAAGTCATCTTAAAACGTGCTGGACTATTAATAAAAGTTCCAGTCCATTCGTGGATCGAACAAGCTCCATTAAAACCTAGAAAATCGAGCTTGTATTAGTTACAAAAGGTTATTCGGAATATTAGTAGTCCCACCCTTTCTAGAGGAACTTTTGCCGTTACTTAAAATACTAGCAAGGGAAGCCGCCAGAGACGGTTTTTCCGCTACCATTAATACACTCTTCATTGATTATAACTTATTTTAAATGGAAATTTCTTTATTAAATAAATAAGTATATATTTGCAGGTCGGATGCGCAGAGAAGGACGATCAGAGTTCTTTACTTTTTTAAATGAAAAGTAACAAATGTTACACAGTAATATGATTCATATTTATTCTACTGCTTACTAATCAGCAACTGCTACCAGCTATGATTTCTTCTTAACAACACATGCGACACACACAACTTGAATATTTAACCCAAACAAAAAAGGAGCGTTCCTGGCTTCAATTGGGCAAGTTATCCTTAGTCTTGTCGCTGAACATTTGTGACGAACAAAGTGAAGTGGTATTCTCCATTTAACCTGATGGTCGGGGATTCTGAAGTGAGAGTTGTACATTAATATTTGTTTCCCAAGTTTTATTATCAGCACCATTTAAATGGTGTTATGTTTCTATGACTTTTGTGAACGTTTTTAAAATATAGGTGGTACGAGCCCCGTTGTTTGTGCTATTCACGGCGGTTGGAGGCTCGATGGGCTCCGATGGTCCGTAGTGGTAATGGGAGGAAGCCGGTTTTTTGAATTGGTCGAAAGTACATTGTGCAGTTAGTCTGTGACCAATAAAAGTCGACAATACTTTTTCGTTTAAAAGTTTAAACATGGCTGTAAGCTGGCCTTTTGCAGCAGTGCCTTAATAATGCTTAAATAAAGAAGAATTTGATTATGATATTTGTGACTAGCGAATCGCTCAATCAGACGACGCAAATATTCCTATGATTCGAATAAGGAGTATTACGTTACATTGGCATTCCAGATAATATAACTAATTTTGTCCACTTTAATGAATATATGTTCTGACAAATCATCATAACTCTGCCAAAGAACAAATTTTAAGGCACAGAGGGGAAGTACCTGGACTGCTATCCATGTAGCGTGTGGTAACCTCGAAATTTCGAAACGAGATGTATTCATGGAAGTCACATGTGCAAACAAAACTTCCGCTGATTTTCTAATTTTTTGAGAGTAATTATTTAGTATTGTTTCTGAACGTTACCATGCCCTATTTTGTAAAGATTTTAATATTAATTTATTTCTGGAAAGTTGTCCTCTGTTCGTCACCTGATAAAATAAAAGCCCTTTTTGGGACTCACTATTGTATAGCCGGTAAGGTTTGTTAGAAATGTTGTAGAATGGTTATGTTATAATTATTTATCTTTATGTTTTATATTGATAATTACTACATAGGATCGTTAGCATCCATAGAAGATCAAACCCTGTTTAGACAAAATGAACATATACAAAGTGAAGATTTATCAATCTCTGGCATGTTATATTTTATAAATTTGTGTACCCTGTAGTTATCTCATATTAAATTTTAGAGTTTACACAAGGCCAATTAGATGTGGACAAGACTATCCTGAGTCAACTGTATGAATTGGCCGCATTTAATGCTATAAGTTATTCTTATGAATTAATTAAGGAGGAGGTGAGATGATGAAATTATAATATAGTTTATAGAATTAAAAAATAATTTATCAAATTTCAATTATAGGGTCCATCACACAATCCAACTTTTACTATAAAATTGTTTCTTGGTAATGAAGGATACTTAGGTGAGGGAAAAAGTATAAAAAAAGCTAAGCATGCTGCTGCATCTTTGGCATTGAGAAGTACGGAATATGAACATCCACCATTGAAAATTAATAAAAATGAAAAGTCTATGACTCCAACATCTATTTTGAATAATCTAGCATTAAAACTTGGTTTGCCTGTCACTTATTCATTAGTGACAAATGATTTGGTAAGAAGGAATTTTAATGTATAGGGTGGTTATCTCAGAATCTCTAAAAAATATCTAAAACATTTAAAGATAAAAGTTGTTTGGAATCACTTGTACCTTTAATATATTATATTGTAATGTATACAGATTATTTGTATTTTCGTGGGCAAGCAACAACTTTACTATTTTAAGTAGAACACCCTGTATATTTTTGAATTTCTCAGAACTTTCCAGACATATTTCATATATAATATCCTATTCCTAGGCCTTTCTGCTTTCGACATATTTTGAATTTTATCAAAGGTGATATTTCCATGTCGAAATAAATCTATCACTTTCTATAGTTGCAAATCTGCTATATATTTGAAAATATACTTTAGTGGTCTGTGTTCTAATTTTAGAAATAAGTATATACAGGGAGTTGAAACACCATGTTATTTTTTCTGTTTATTATATATGTTATTTGTTTATTTATTATATTTATATCATAATTACCATTAAAAAAGATCGGGACATTAGAAACAGTTGTAGATTTGAAAATGTTTTCAGTAAAATGTTTTTTTCCTTTCTAAAAATGCTATATGCCTATTAATTTTCCAATAAAATGACGAGACGTGAACAATTTTTTTTTAATATAGCTGAAAAAAAAATATCCATTTAAAAAGAAATTTTAAATATTGCAGTTCTGTTTGTAGCACTTGGTTTTCAATAAACTGTTGTCGTTACTTAAGAGTTGAAAATATCTTGCGGAATTTAAATTTTCATTATAAACTAGTGGCCTTATTTTTATTGCTTAATTGGTACAATTTTTTTTTGTTATATCTTGACTTATCCGTTTAATGAATTTGAATGAAAACTAGTTCTAGCAAAAGTCTAGTCTTTTGTTGTAATCTATCGTTTGTAATTTTTGAAAAATGTGTACGGCTTTTATCCCTTCAATTCAAAACAAGTTTAGATAGTTTCTGTTTTAATTTAAAAATTGATCTAGTTAGGCAGAATAAAACTATTAAATATTAATTTCCATAAAACTGTTAAACATTACTTGGAAAACACAGAGTCAAAATAGTGACATTTCGTTATATTTGACTGTCATTGTCATAGCTAACCAACAGCAAAACATAAGCCCTATAAGATTTTCACAAAACTTTTTTTTTAAAGAAACTTCCACAAGCTATTTAATAGTTTTTACAAAACTTCTGGATTCCTCCTGCGTCGATTTTTGTTGAGTCAAACTTGCTGAAGTTTCGCCAATCATCCTGTTGGCTTCTTCAGAGCTTGACTGAAACTGAATTGAAGAAGTTTTGTAAAAAGTAAAGTTGCATTGCAAATATTTCCGAATCTATAACTTTTTTCATAGAAAACCAAAGTTCTCCTCTTTTTTAAATTTTTTAATAATGGTTTTTACACACAACTTTAGTCTCTAAATGTTTTTAATATTTTTATAGCTCTTAAAATAATAAACCCGCCACCCTGTACATTTGCAATTAGATCATTTAATTTTTGCAGGACGATTATGAAAATCATCAAACTGGGGTGGAAGTCAAACAGAAAAGGTCCTACACGCAGCAACTAAATGACACAATCTATTTAAATGACTCAATTAGGATAAGGAAGTATGAATTTGAGACACAAGGTCCTTTTAAAGTTAGAGTTGTGGTTAATGGTGAAAAGTTCATTGGGGAAGATTACACCATTAAAAATGCTAAGCATAAAGCTGCTGCTAAAGCACTGCAGAGCTTAAAAGATATAAAAAAACAAAGTGATTTTGTATGCTTGAGGGAAGGTACATTTTTCAAAACTTATGTAGAAAATGTTTTATAGTTTATAATTCCAGATGACACAGAATCTTGTAAAAATGCAAAACAAAGCATTAAATCCCCAATATCTCTTGTGTATGAAGCAGCTCAGAAACGAAATTTGGAGATTTCATTTGATGTAATTGATGAAAGTGGCCCTTCTCATAAAAAAACATTTTACACTAAATGTGTTGTTGGGCCTTTGGAATCTATTGGTGAAGGAAGATCAAAAAAAGAATCCAAAAGGGTTGCCTCAGAAAAAATGTTGGAACAAATCAATACCTTGCCAATTTTAGAGAACAGTCTAAAAACTCAAAAACCTTCTTCAAAACAAAAAAGAAAGAAGAAGAGTAAAGTAGTTAAGACCACATTAGACAAAATTAACAAAATGACCAATGACTTTGTTGAATTTGGTAGGAATTTAATTAATAAATTAGGTACTGAAAAGGTGATAACTTACTTTAGGAAATCCAATATTCCTTTTTTTGAGTTATGTCATTGTAGCTGGATGAAAATTCCAATAATCAAAAACCAAAGCATGGGAACTCTCCTTCTGATGAAATCCTGAAATTGGGCAATATATTAAACTTGCACATGCAATTTTCTGATGTACAAGATGGCGGCAAAACTTATGCTATTCTTGACTTGGGGACCAAACCTGCTTTTGTAAGCAGTAAATTGGGGAGGAATTAGTAGATTGTAAAATACTGTTTAATTTTTTGCAGATATGTTTAGGAGAAGGTGTTTCTACAAAAAATGCAAGGGACTTGGCAGCTACCCACGGAATTAAATATTTATATAAACTCGGTCTAATGGATAATTTTAAGGACAATCCAAAAGATTCAGTAAGGTATGTCTACAATAGAGTGATTCACTTTGAGTGTCCTATTTAAAAGTTTTGGAGAACTAAATTCACTCAAATCATAAGCAACTTAGCAAAGTAGGTGAAATTGTCTAGAATATCAAGTAGCATTTGGAATGAGTTAAAACAAATTTTGTAATTCAACGTTTCTTTTATGGTCAGTTTTGAACCAAACAATTCTTATCTACACTTTATATAGTGAATATATGAGTATGTACCTTTTTAGTTCTCCAAATCCTGATAGATTTAGAATCTAGCTAATCTATTATTAATATTTTAGCAATACTTTAGAAGAATATCAGAATGTGTGGCTACATGTTTTAGAAGAAGAACAAGAGAGTTCCAAGCAGTGAGATTTTATGATCTTTGTCTATTAAAAAAAACAAATAAAATTTCATTAATAATTTTCTTTGATTTTCCAGAAATTATGTGAAATCTGAATGCAACCGGTATATCTATTAAAATGACATTTCACATTAGCGGAACTTGAATCAAACAAACTCTTTGAAAACGATGAATAGATAAACTTGATGCATAAATGTTTTTACCACGAATATAACTTGTGGGTATATAAGAAAAATCCATAATGCCAAATACTAGAAACGAAAGAAATGGAGATGTTTGTTTCAAGTTAATATCGATTTAGGGCTAATTTAGGTTATGTACTGAAATACCGCTTTTTGAACAAAATATTAATTTATTGACTTGTTTTATAATGGGATTTTTTGGTTATCTTTTACTGGAAGGCCAAGCTTTCATCTGCAACTACTCGAGTTGCGATGAAGGGATGAGCGTTGTATGGGAGGTTCTTCAGTTGCTTTTTGATTATTTTTTTTAACTTATATTTTTCCTGTACGATATCTGGTATCTCATAAAGTTATATTTAGACCTTTTAGAGTCTTATTTCGTGATTTTGACTTACATTTTTAATACACACCAGAAATTCGGGAAATATAGCTTGCAATTTTATTTGCCAAAATTTCTTATAATTTGGTGGTAGACCCTTTGCAATATTTAAATAAAAATCACGTAAAAACTGTATCGTGTCTACCGGGTTTAAGATTGTAACTGTCTGGTTAATAAAACATTTCCTAAATACAAGTGTAAACTAGTTTTTTATCACTTCTCGTAATCGATCCCATGCCCGGGCAGATTTGATACCTTTAGATTTCATTTAGTAGCGCCCACTCGTTAAAAAGTTTGTCTCTAGTTGCCATGGTTAAGCAATTGCCCAGTGCTCGCTAAAAGCAACAAAGAAGATATGCCGTGGTATGATTTCATAGATATAGAGATTGGTTAGTTTCTTTCCATCGATATTTATTCAGTGGTTTGGGATTATTTTTGTTTTTTTTTTTAATATCCATTATCGCATATTAAAACTCAACTGACTGGACTTTGGAACATTCTAATATGTAGTTGGTGAAATTTAACAAGTATTGGTTTACTTTTTTCGCCACTTACGTTTTTTTTTAAATGAATTTTGAATTAATTTCGAAAATGCCTTTCCAAAAAATTGGGTGGTCCAAACTGGGTAAGCAGTGAAAACTCGATTTTTCGCTTAAAATTTGTAGCCTTTCCACAGCGGGCTAGATTATGCAGGAGTAGATAAAAGTAACCCATTTTGTAAACAAGTCGTTTAAGGAAATTCATGGGTATTATTTTTTTGTAATAGCCAGACTAATCATTATTGTGAAAATGCAAATGTTTTATTGGTTTGATTCTACTTTCATCTCTGAATTTTCCTTTGCTTTTAGCTCAGCATCTACTTCTTTTCCAAAGATGTTATTCTAACAGTGTTCAGAAAATTACCACTCACTATACAATACATCCAAGGGAAAATGATCCACGATGGAAAGGTAATTTTATATTTGAATTTTGGCATGTTTTGAAATAATTTTGGATGATTCTGTAGTCCTTGATTAACATTTTCTTTAATTGTGACAAATTTTTAGAGATAAATATGGAACGTTTTGGTGATGAAACTGATATACTGATTGTGGGCGGAGGCCCTGCAGGTATGAGTGCTGCCATCAGAGCAAAACAACTGGCTGAAAAAGATGGCAAAGACATTAGAGTATGTGTGGTAGAGAAAGCATCGCAAGTTGGAGGTCATATTTTATCAGGTGCTGTAATACAACCAACAGCGCTAGCTGAATTATTTCCTGATTGGCAAGAAAGAGGTGCTCCTCTTAACACTCCTGTAAATGATGATAAATTTAGTTTTTTGACTGCTAATTCCCGAATACCAATTCCTGTTTTGCCAGGTCCGGCTAGATTTTTGCTGTATTGAAATATGTTAATACTTAATGTTTTAGGCACTCCAATGTACAACCATGGAAACTATATAGTTAGGTTAGGACATTTTGTTCAATGGCTTGGTGAACAAGCGGAGGCTATGGGTGTCGAAGTCTATCCAGGATATGCAGCTTCTGAAATTCTTTATCATCCAGATGGTAGTGTTAAAGGTATTGCTACCAATGATGTGGGTATTGCTAAAGATGGAAGTCCAAAAGCTAATTTTGAAAGGGGTATGGAACTTCACGCAAAATGCACCATATTTGCTGAAGGATGTCATGGACATCTCTCAAAGCAGTTGATTAACAGATTTAACTTGAGGAAAAGCTCTGAACATCAAACTTATGGAATTGGTAAGGGAAAAGGGCTGATATTATTTTGTGGCATTGTCATTGTTTATTTAAACCTATGGTAAAGATGTATGTTGTCAATAAGCAGGTTTTAAACACATTCCGAAAAAATTATAGTGATAAATTTGAATTATGTTTGCTAGGGTTGAAGGAATTATGGGAAATAAATCCAGAAAAACACAAACCTGGCCGTGTTGAGCATTCAATTGGTTGGCCATTGGACAAAAATACATATGGAGGGTCTTTTCTCTACCATTTAAATGAGCCCACTCCTCTGATAGCAGTAGGTTTCGTTGTTGGTTTAGATTATACCAACCCTTATATAAGCCCATTCAAAGAATTTCAGCGATTCAAGCATCACCCTTCAGTTAAACATTATTTTGAAGATGGCACAAGGGTATCCTATGGGGCGAGAGCTTTAGTTGAAGGTGGCTTTCAAAGCATACCAAAGTTGACCTTTCCGGGTGGTTGCCTAGTGGGATGTGCTGCCGGATTTATTAACTTACCAAAAATTAAAGGTTGGTTTCACAAAAACCTTTGATCAATGTAAAATTGTGTTCATTTAGGTACTCACAATGCTATGAAAAGCGGTATGTTAGCTTCGGAGAGTGTTTATGGGGCTATATTTGGGGAGAAACAAAAAACAGAATCTTTTGAACCTTATTCATATGAAGAATCATTCAAAAATAGTTGGATTTGGAAGGAACTTAAAGCTGTCCGAAATATTAGGCCCAGTTTTCACACTCCTTTGGGTTTGTATGGGGGTTTACTCTACAGTGGATTCTCTGTATTAATTGGGGGACGTGAACCATGGACATTTAAACATGGAGGCAAGTTCCAGCTAATTTATAGTATTTAATAATACTGATTTTTGATGGTCGGTCTTTGCAGATCCTGATTATAAGAGACTGAAACCAGCAAAAGACTGCAAACAAATTGAGTATCCGAAACCTGATGGAAAAATAAGTTTTGACTTACTAACTTCTGTCGCTTTGACTGGAACTAATCACGAGGGGGATCAACCTGCGCATTTAACTTTAAAGGACGACAGTGTCCCTGTCAATAGAAATTTAAAGATTTTTGATGGTCCCGAAGCTCGATTTTGTCCAGCAGGTATATAGCATACAATAAATACCACCACATAGTGTGCTATACTTTTCTTAAATTTCTTTAAATGTCCTACTAATTGTTCTGTTCTTTCAAAAATTGCGGAAATTGACGGATTTATTTTTTCAAATTGCTTTGGTTAGCTATTCCTAAATAAATTAATAAAAACCATATTTTTTTCAGGGGTATATGAATTTGTACCTCTGGAGTCAGGCGAAGGCAAACGCCTACAAATTAATGCCCAAAACTGTATTCACTGCAAAACATGCGATATAAAGGACCCCAGCCAAAACATCAATTGGGTTGTTCCAGAAGGAGGAGGTGGCCCCGCCTATAACGGAATGTGAAAATGCCAACATATTTTTTATTAAATTTTAATCATGATATTTTTACAGAAACTTTAATGATAAAGAGATTACACCTGATGTAATATTTTGTATGAAATATACCCATTTTTATTCAGTGTTACTGCAGACTATCAAAATTTCGTTCCTCTGGTTTATTCCGAAAGTTCTGTTTGCTTGCAATTTGAAACTGATTGATCCAATCCTTTGGTTGCCTGTTTTTATATACCTGATATTCAAGAGGAAAAAATTAAAAATTAAAAAACATTAAAGGATAAAAAATACCCTGCAAACAAATTCTAGAATCGCCTGCATGGAAATTTCTGTCTCTGCTGCGGGTCCCCATGAAAAAGTCTGAATTTTCGTGATAGGATCGCCCGTGACATTCAGATAGTGCTTCTTTACCAATGTTTTGGCAATGTAATCTTTGACATTACCAAATATTGGGTGCTTGGCTTCAACATCTATCCCTAATTTTTTTAAAAACCCAACTAATGACACTAAAAATTTATCGAATTGATTATATTGCCAAATAGTACATGGAAACTTCATACCTTCTGAAACGCTATTGTTCATCATAAAAGTATGTGTTAGAATAAGCAGGAGCAGAATTTTATTTGCATCTGGGGGATACTCATTGTTAACATCATCATCCGGATCAGATACATAAGGCAGCGCATTGCTGACAATATAGTTCTTGTCTCTGCCTTTGGCGGTTTCAACAATCAATAAATTGAAGCCATAGGTCTAGAAATCACTTTTAAAAATGAAGTTAAGAGCTAAGATTCATCATACTTTTCTCAAAATCTCTTTTACTTTATTTAGTATATCTTCAAATTTCATGTTTGACTTGTGAATCACATTCTTGACCAACTCGGATTTTCCAAACATTGATTGATCTGCAATTCTGTAAATTATATATCGTACTATATTGTTCACTGTTTCATCAACCAGCTGTGGTTCTTCTGCATCATCAGTACTCATTTGTGACCAATCGCTTGTCGTATCGGAAGCTTCTTGGTGTTGATTTCGAGTCTTTCTCGACATTTTTTTTAATTTGACAAAAAGCGTTTTTTTTTTTTAATAACGCTTTATTTGGCTACTGCTTCAAAAGCAATTTGGCCAATTTACAACAATGTTATAACTTATAAACAAAGTTTTATAACGATTATAACATTGAAGGTACCCGGTGGCAATCAAAAAGTGTTAAATTTCTTCTTTTCTTTTACTTCTATTGGCCAAGTGATTACCAAATTCTTCTTCTTAAAGTTTTTAAATTCATCTTCTTTATTAAGACAACCAGAATTTTCTGCCAGATATTCGTGGTTAACTCCTTTTCATCAACTATGGTTATTTTTAACTTTTTCTTCTACTTAACATCCAAAAATAAATGTAAATAGAAAAAGTGAGGGTGTATCCCGGCATGAACTGAGGAGACGGCACCGTTATAATTTCTGCATATATACTTTTTTATTTCAATAACAAAAATTGTTGAAGCTCTTATGTTGCATCTTTAATACCTAAGCATACTATTGTCGTTAGTATGCGTTTGTTAAAACAAGCTCGTCATCAACCGCAATAAATTTCTTATTAACATTTTTGTTAACGTTGTTCTGATCCTGTGCTGTCTTTTTACATTGCGTAAAAGACTTATGACATTTGTTTTCACATTCGAAACAATGTATCTTTTAATGTTTTTCATGAATTAAAATATATATAGAAATGCTATCCACTTAAATTATTAATTAGCTCTACCGGCTTCGTAAAATTTTAACAGCGCTTTTTGATTTAATACTCTGCGATTTGAGAAACTGTACAATGGTTTTACTTCCAATTTGATAGATCCCTGCTTTAACTAAATTAAGATAATTTGCAGAATTTCCAATTTTATCTAATCAAAAATTGCTGAAGACACATCTTTCAATTACATTTTGCGCAATTACAACAATTCTAAACTTGTTTTTTGCAAATATTACCAATTCTTAACATCCAAAGGTGATATTAATTTTAGAAATATATAAATTCCAAAACCTGTAGTAAAAGCACAAAATAAACACGGCATCAACTTTCTTCTTCGAATCCGAGGATAACAGCTAACTACCGGGTAAAATGCTGGTATATATACTTGAAAAACTTGTTTAGGTAAGTCATAATTAGACTTACCTAAACAAGTTTTCATTCTATTTGTATGTAGAATTTCTCTTTTTTGGGTCAAAAATGTAATTACAACCAAATGTTCAGTGAAAATGCAAAATGGTCCGGTATATCTTTACCTGTCATTTTTGTTTGTCAATTCTGACGGTCATGTCAGTGAATGTATTCATTTTATTTTTCGAAAATGTCACCAAAAAGTATTGGTCGTAGAAAAAGTGTAGTATGCAACACATTTAGTAAACTTGTTAAGGCACTCGTTAATTAAACACTCGCTTCGCTGCGCTCCGTTCGTGTCAAATGAACTCGTGAGTCAAATGCCGTTTACCGCACTTGTTGCGGGAAGCGTCAGGTTACCACGTCAGTTTCGTTTCCCACGTATCCGAGCCACTTCGGAGATTTCCGGGATTTTACTGCACGGATTTGGGAGCAATCGAATGTTTTCGGAGATATTTCCCGGGTTTTGAATTTTGACGTTTGTCAATTCTGACGTCCATGTCAGTGAATCCAATTTATCTATAACCCTATTTTTACGGAATACAAGAATACGATACTTAGCGATTCAGGAAATACCAATAAAAATATCGGCTCCATTTAGGTTTCAGAACAACGCGACGGCGACGTAACGCACAATATAAATAAATAAAAATAAATTTCATTGGATTTTTAAAATTATTTCGGTCAATTGACTGGTCAATTCCACAAGACCATTACAATCTTTTAATCTTTAATCTTTAATCTTTTAATTTTGAGCATCCCATATGAAATGTTGTGCACTTTCTCCGTGAATGTTATCACCTTCGAACCTTCCAACGACGTTCCAAAAATTTAAAATTTCCCTCTCGTTTCTCACCAAATTCAAACGTGTTTTATAAGAATCTCTGAATTTTACGTAACTTCATAGAGAAAGTTATGGTCGTTTTTTACATTTATTTGTGACTAACATATAGACGAATATGCCATAAAATGGTCTAAGTTTAAATCTGATAGCGCATAACCCACAATCCTTTTAGAGTATAAGTTACATCAATGAAAGTAAGGTGCCCAAAATTTCAAATGGGTTGTGCAAAATTGTACCAACCTGTCGATTGATGTCATCAGACAGCCTTAAATTTAGTCTCGACACTCCCTGGATCAGTAACATTTTTTTTTCGCAGGGTAGTGAGGATCGAACCCGATACTTGTGGATGAGGTGTTGTCTGCAAAATTCGTATTCTAGAGTGCCTGGCGAAAATGATATACCTACACACGATTTAAAATATGAAACTTACGGGCGTAACGAACACCCTAACCGAGGGAGACTATTTATCAACACCACTATTAAATATAGGGACACCTGTTTTATCTCCGCATCTATAGGGGAGTTAAACCCGTAACAAATCATGTCGAGAGTAATCCCTTAAACGGCACTAGACACCCCAACAATGCAAAGATGTCACATGACCAATTAAAATGACCCCTTCCTCTAAGTCTTTGTTGTTACGCTGCCCTTGTTACACTAATTTATCAATCTCAACGTTTAGACCCGTACAACTAAAAAATATAAAATGCCCGACGCAAAACACTTTTGTTTGCAATTCAGATAGTTAGCCTCTCTAAACATTGGAAAGGAAGCGGAATATTTTTGGTTATTTCTCCCGTTTCCCTAAAAATTTCTCATCCTGAATTATGTTCTGTAGCTTGTTTCGAAACAAATGCGTGCTACAAATATAGCGCAAAATAGTATATTATGCAAGTGACTCGTCAAATGTCGTTTACCACATTTGTTGCATAATGTACTATTTTGTCAACTTTTTCGTTAAACTTACAGTTGTACTTTGTACCAATATTTATCAATTGTCTGCTATACAATTACATTTTAAAAATAATTTATTAATAAACATTTCTGAAATTATAATTAACCTATTCATGCGAAAATTTTAAATAAATATATTCTTTAAAAACATTTTATTTAAACAATGTAACTCAAGTATAAACCCACCAAATAAGCAAGACGCCCAAGGCAAAGAAAAATTAGTATATTATGCAACAAGTGCGGTAAACGGCATTTGAGTCACGAGTTTATTTGGCACACTGACATGACCGTCAGAATTGACAAACGTCAAAATTCAAGGCGTGGGAAATATCTCCGAAAACATCCGATTGCTCTCAAACCCGTGCGGTAAAATCCCGGAAATGTCCGAAGTGGCTCGGATCCGTGAGAAACGAAACTGACGTGTTAAAGTGACGCTTCCCGCACGCTAGATCGTTGTGTAATTAGGCATTTTACAAACGGGAGTAGAAAAAAATATAAAATGTCCCAATGGCCAAATGATCATCGATTATTCCTAACAAAACCTTAAATTGATATTGATTATCGGATTATCTGTTGTGGAAATTTTGAATTGCGTCCCTGGTTTCGCCCGACAAGAGAATTTTTGAACAAAGCAAGGGTTCATAGGCTAGATGGACATTCTCAAAATGTTTTTCGTGCTTCATAAGTTCCTGTATTATCGGCATAGACAGAGCCGCTATATCTCTACCAACTATGTGAATCAAATTAACTGGAGCAATGTCAAATAAAGCAATAATTACATAACGTTAATACTTCTTTCGTATTTTAAAAATTTACAGCAATGGGTCCCCACATAGTCCAAAAGTGAAGCTTTTTAATTAGTCATTGCTTGTTTTAAAAGCAAGAACCAGCCAATCATATACATTTCCTTCTTGAGGGAAATAATCTTTGCTCTCGCGGTTTGCACGTCATGTGGAAATATTGAATTGAAACTCCTAGAGCAGCAGGAGCGCTTAATAATTAGTAGATACATTTAGTAACACCAGGGCATTTCCGTCTCTCGGCTGGGCAACACTGCTGTGGTCATTCGACGAAGATTTTTCTTTTAGTCACAGACCAACACGTAAAAATAAATATAACCAGCATTTGTTCTCATCTAGTTTTTGGGACGAATGAAATGGATTCTGCAGGAAGCGAGCGTTGGTTAAGTCGCCATGCGCAATGCTCCGCCAGAATTTTGATTGTAGGGATTTTGCTTATTAGCGGCAATGCATTTCCACGATAATTTTGATTTGACTCAGACTCCTGGGGTATCCGCCGATACAGAAATCAGCATTGGGCAACTTATACTCGATCACGCATAATCCTTAGGGCATCTAACAATAGGCGTTCCTACTGTTAACTTTTTTGGTAGATAGACGGCATAATCATATTAAGGGTCCATCCAACTTAAAGCTAATTTGTTACAGCGCCCCGTAGTCACCCTTAATGCGTGTAATGACACCCGTACACAATTGAATTTCGCACGTGCTATTATCATCCCTCCCCATAAGACCCGCTCGATGGACCATGTAAAAAACGACTATATATAAAGTTCCCATTTCGTATTGTTCCCGTATTTGCTTGTTGCAGGGAGGTATTCGGATTTTTTTAAATCCACGCTAACATCGATAACGTCATTGACAAGTCATATACAAGCTAGCTGTACTGGATAGTAGGCTATCCCGATAATACTTTCAACTAGAAAACGTTGCGGCGTTTTACAATCAACATGGTCGCTGATAGACAATTCTACACTTTTCGAGTTAAGCATGTTGAGTGCTGGGAAATAAAATGGAACTATGTGAACCTGCAGAAAGAGAAATTTAGGGACATGGCGTGGAAATGATTGCCAAGGATATCATAGTCGCCTGAGATGCACCTATTTTTACAGTAAAATGTTTAAAAACGAGTGAAAAAAAGATCAAATAGCTATTAAGGATAGCCTTAACTTAGAGGCTTTGCTAGTATAATAAATAATATTCTAAATACTGGCATCTTTCTCCAAGAACCTAAAACCTAACCTAAAAACTGATTTATGTGTAAGTAATTATCGGTGTAGTGTATGCTTTGTCCAAAATAAATAAAACGATTATAAAAAAAGAATTATATCTTAAGAGCAATTGTAGTCCTTGTGAATTAAATATCAGCAGAATTAAGTAAATATATCGCTGTCTTCATAAATCTTGGGAAGGCAGTTGACATAGCAAGCATTGACAATCTATTACCCAAGTTGAACCAAATGGGCTTTAGAGGTATTATACATAA